TGAATCGACATTACCCGTGAACATCATGCGAGTAAGAATTATTCGAGTCGATTACAATATTACGTCTGGAGCATATTTCAATGGTGAAGAAGCACATACTTACTTTTTTCTACATAGATGTAGAACCAGGGTACAAATTATTTAAGGAGCCGCAGAATATCATTTATATGCCGGTGAGACCTGAAGGATGTCAGTTCATTGACAACATCACTCTGAGTATCTTGGATGATAACGGTGCCTCAATAGATTTCCGAGGAGAGAAAATGATATTGAAATTGGAACTAAGGAAATTATCGTGAAATATCAACGATGGGATTTTCATTCAGACGTTCTGATAGGATGTCATCAGATTTCCAAACACATATAAGGAAGAGCAAGAGCAATTCCAATTTCATTTCACGTCGTCATCCAGAGCAGTCAAGATATAAGCTATCAGCGGGCGATCGAAATTTTCTCAAGAATATTGTTGGACTGAAATTACGAAAAAAATACTAACAACATGATGGCCCATACTACTAGTGAAAAATTGAGTGTTTTTGATGAGCCAAGTCTGGTTCACTCATTGATTAGTCTCCATGAACACACATACAAGCCATATGGTTCACCATATTATTAAAATTCACTCCTACTGATTCTACCAGAGTTTGTTATTTATCTAATAATGCACTGGCATTCCTCTTTGATGAGATTCGTTATGAAATGGGAGGTGAACAAGTAGCTGTAATTCGAAAGCCTGGTATAACTACTACAATGAGAACTATGATTTCATATGGACAAACGCATATGACATCGCTTCAAACTACTGGATGGGGTTTCAAACAAGAATCACAAGATATTTTGGACTCCCAAAGTCACATCTTTAGTGGAAAATTACCTTTGAAGTACCTGATGGGCTTTGCTGAATCTTACACCAGAGGAATTCTGAATGTAAAACAAGACTCATATATTGGAGAGGTTGATGCTGATTTGGAGATCATTAAGATAGAATGGAAAATCAAACATCATGCCAGAAGATCGACAGAAGCTCAAATTGCTCAATCAAATAAATAGAAATAATACAGCTAAGGTGAAGTTAGCATACCGAATGTGGGATCTGTATGAATTACCATCACTACGAGACACTGTCTCAGGTATTTGGGCAATGAAAACAACGAATAGTCTCGAACGCCCTCGATATATAATTATTGGATTTCAACACACTAACGATCTCAATCATAGATCAAAAGATGCAACAAAATTCAAACATGCTGATGTTAACAATATTCGTCTATATCTCAACTCAGAAGTATATCCATATGAAAGGTGGAATCTTGATTTTGGTAAAAAGCTTTACTCACCAGCTTACTATGCTTACGAACAATTCCAGCGAAACTATTATGATAAAGATATGAGTGAGCCCATGATGACCATCGGAGAGTTTCGTGACAACCCCCTATTCATCATTGACTGCTGTCATCAACCGGATGCTATGAAGACTTCTACAGTGGACATAAAATTAGAATTCGAGACTCGCAAAACCATACAGCGCCCTAGATGGCACTGTTCAAACAGGATCTGTCTGATGGAAATAAAGTATGGTAGTTGAAATATATAACTATGATATAATTATGTTTCATGTTAGTCTTTTTTTTTATACTTATACTTCTTTTATTATAATGTATTCCTGATATTCTGCAGAAATAAAACAGATTCATGAGTCATATTTGTTTTATTCATTATAATTATAACATAAATCAATTCTTTCATGTACATTCTCCATTATCTTCATGTAGATGGAATTCCTCACAGATGTCTTTCGGTAAGTGTGGTGCCAATTGGAATAGGAATTCGCGTAAGTGAACATCAACAAGTTGCTCACAAAATTGTACCAAGTTCATACTTCCATATATGAATTCATTACATATACCGGAACCAGCATTATACTTTTCATGAAGTCGCATACATCTCTGTATACCATCGTCATCAAAACAAATATTCATATCATAGTTGGTGGAATGTGGAGCATCAAAACTAAGGTCATCGAACTCACATCTTAGTCAGTCAATTGTTGATTTTATATCTGTTGCTTCTGGCCATCCTTGTCGAGAGTATTGCATCCACATATTGAAGTACCAAAATCACTGAAAACGTAAACAGTTTAGGTTATAATAATAACAATAATGATGAAATCATCATACTCACATCAGTGGGATTATTTCAATGATGAGAGATTGGTATATAATCTGAGAGGAAAATATCTCACAATATAATATATATTATTCCCAACTATTATCACTATAGTTATATGAAATGAAATGATATTTTGACAAGAACGTTTCATCTACGACGAATTCAATGAGAGATCGTGTTTTTGACCCTGCGAAGCTAGGTAAACTCTCTCCCAAATATTTCAATCTGAATTGGCTATCAGGGGAGTTCAATTCATTGATTATATCATCACTCAATCGATCTGTCACTCGCTTTGGTAACCATGTTTTGAATTTGTTACCCTCATCAGATAATAGCAATAAACTAGATCGCCCATATCTCGTAGATAGAACAGTGACCTTCTCTAGGCGGTATTTCTTGTTCACAGCCAATGAAGATAATGGAATAGTTTGGAATTCTTATGATGTTTGATTAATCATCTCATTGATTTTTTCTAGTTCTAGTTTTTCAACAGACATTTCAATAATGATATTGTTGGAGTAATCCGATAATTGTAAAATAATTTTACCTCGACTTAGATTACACAGGATTGGGTGGTTCTGACTTCAATTCTAGCACAACAACCACTCTAAGGGATGTTAAGATATCGAATGATGAGTTAGAATGGCTCTAGCCCTTTATATACTCTTGAAAGTAGAGGGGATTTATGGGTAATGAAAACAACCCCCCACTATAATCCATCTAGCATGAAACACACCGTTTTCTAGTCAGTGGGGTACCACGACAGCTAGAGTTAGGATACCTAGCAACTGGATTCGATCTCTGTAATGTATATGAACCTGAAGTAATCTCAAGGTCACCATCGACCACGATTTCACCTTGCATCACCGCATACACGTATTCATATGATTACCTTTCAAGTTCGGATAATAAGTATTCGTCAATAACATACAATTTCAGCATAATACACTCATACTTTACTCAAGGTCATATGACTTATTCCATTCAATTGAACAAGTACCTTCGACCTTGGTCGGTCTTAGCCTCTGGTAATTAGAATTGTAATTGCGATAATTACCCTTCAAATGACCTTTAGAGGCTGTAGAACCGGCCAAGAATCACTACTTGAAAATTTCCCCACATATTTGATCATTTAAATATTCAGAAGTTATCAATATTTATCTGATATATACCTAGTTTGAAGAAAATTGTAGGACGTCCTCTACAGTGGTCTGAATGTGCCTTGTCTGGCGTTGCTGTAATTAATAGGTTGCAGGAATACACATTCGTTTCATTCTCTCATCTGTCCTTCTCAAAATTTTCAGGAAACATATTTCCAAAGTATTTGTTGCTTACCATCAGTTATAAATATTCGGTTTTCTCAATTATCCAAATCAACTACTAGTTTACTATCAAATTGTCATCAAAGAGGCATTGAGGGCCAGACAGATGTTCGGGATGTGGAAAAACTCTAACTCAGGAAAATGTTATCAGGTTAATTGCAAAAAACTGCATATCTCGACTAGAAATGTGCCGCAGGCAGAGTGCAGCATCTGCAGCGAGCCGATGTACCAGGTCGCGATGCTTTGTTCCTGCAAACACACATCTTGCGCAGAGTGCAAGACGCATCGTATTTTTCCATTTATTCAGCATCGTTGTTTTTTTTTCACGCATTGTTGTTGGTCCAAGCATTGTTGATATGTACAGTGATAGAATCTATAATATATACCTTCTCAAGGAATGTTGTACAAGGTTCTGCATCCTCTATAGACGGTGTGATCATCGAGAATGACGGAAGGCTCACGGGTTTTTGTATTATTGGCCTAGTTGTGGCAGCCACATCAATAAAATGTTTCACCTCACAAGAGAATTGAAGACGTCAAAGAAAACATCCGACCATTTTCTCTCAAAGTCCATAAGAAACTGTATTGGAACCTAGAAGAGAGTGCTTGTATCAAACTTTTAACGGGGTTGCGTGGATGCATCCAACCTTGTAAATCGTATTAACATGGATAAGCCATTTTATGTAGAATGGTCTCATGTTGCCTGTGAAATGCCAAATTGTATGTGTAATTTCACGTGTGAAGACCGGATTGCTCATGCGATTTAAATTCATGAGGAAAGGGGCAGGAACAGCTGCCCAATAACGCGTTGTTGTTTTTGTTATCATAGCGTCGTAGTTTTTTTTCACGCATTGTTGTTTGTCCAAGCATTGTTGATTTTTACAGTGATAGAATGTACATTAATATTCTTCTCAAGGAATGTCGTGTAAGGACTACATCCTCTATAGACGCTGTGATCATCGAGGATGCCGGATGGCCCACGAATTTTTGTATTGTTGGCCTAGTTGTGGCAGCCACACCTGTAAGAGGTTTCACTTCACTCCAGAAGCTATCGAAGACGTCACAGACAACATCCAACCATTTTTTCTCGAAGTCCAGATGGAGGTGGATAGAATTGCATATGCCTATAAGAAACTATATTGGAACCAAGAAGAGAGTGCTTGTACCAAACTTTTGACAGGGTTGCGTAGATGCATTCAACCTTGTAGAACGTGTATTGATATGGATAAGCCATTAGTTTCACGTGAGTATGAATGTCACTGTTATAATTTCCATAACTTGAAGAGTTTGTATTTCAGCACCTTGATGTTGCAGATGTGGCATCGTTGGTGGAGAGGTGTATCTTCCCACATGCTGTCAAATTTATCATTTGACATGCAAGCAATTCCTTGAGATCGATGTATCGCAGGCACTGCCTGAATTGACCTGTTTAGAATGTGGTGTCAAACAGTTGTCAGCTTTATATTTTTTCTGGAACTACAAGTAATTGAATATATTTATCTCGACTAGGAATGTGCCGCAGGCGGAGTGCGGCATCTGCAGCGAGCCGATGTACCAGGTCGCGATGCTTTGTTCCTGCAAACACACATCTTGCGCAGAGTGCAAGACGCATCGTAGTTTTTCCATTTATTCAGCATAGTAGTTTTTTGTACGCATTGTTGTTTGTCCAAGCATTGTTGATGTGTACAGTGATAAAATGTACAATAAATACCTTCTCAAGGAATGTTGTGTAAGGTTCTGCATCCTCTATAGATGGTGTAATCATCGAGACTGACGGACTGCAATAATATACATAAGTAAATATATTGTTGAAATAACATGATCACTCTCAAGTGTGAGAAGGGCATGAGTACATGCACTTATCGAAGTGCGAACAAGTGCAAAACTTTTGACGGAATCCAGACATTTTGAAAATTGTCATCAAAGAGGCATTGAGGGCCAGACAGATGTTCGGGAAGTGCAAAAACTAAATGCGATCGATTCCTTGAGATCGATGTATCGCAGGCACTGCCTAAATTAACCTGTTTAGAATGTGGTGTCAAACAGTTGCCAGCTCCATATTTTTTCTGGAACTACAAGTAATTAAAAGGTAACTAAGCACTATTTTTCATGGTCTCTGTATTCTATTCCATAACCAGTTGGGGACTATTATATCAAATTCAAAGATATCAGGTTTGATAGGGATATTTATAAAGACTACATAGACATTTGCATTCAGAGTTTCTATCTAAACTCTCCTCACTCTGTCACACTCATTTAGCATTGGGAATTTCTGAACGCAAGTATCCTAGTAATTGTTTGGAATAAACCTCATGGGATTATTTTAACAAATTCAAAGATATCAGGTTCGATAGGGACATTCCTGGAGACTACGTAGAGATTTGCGTTCAAAGTTTCTATATTAACTCCCCTTACTCTGTCACACTCATTGAGCATAGTGAATTTTTGAACGCAAATATCTCAATAATCGCTTTTGGGTGTATGATGAATTGACATTCATCATACAGAGCGTGGAAAGAAATTCTGAATTGAGACACTATCACGAATCTGCGATTAGAGGTCTATAAAAATCACAAGTTTCCATCGTTCAAGTTTGAACCCCCTGATTGGGTATGAAAGTGTTGAAAAGGAATATTCTCAGATGAATTATGAACAAACAAAAATGGATATATATTTATATGAAGCAATACATTGAGAATTCGCATTCTCTATGTGATAGAGTCTCAATTCAGAATTTCTTTCTACGCCCTGTATGATGAATGCCAATTATTATACACCCAAAAGCAAAAACGTCCAAATGACAGGAATAGAATGTCAACAAATTTCTCAGATGTCATTTCGTTATAGTTTTACTCGGTTTTAGTTGTATTATAGAGAGATGAAAATTGTGTATATCATGAAGAATGGCTGTAAGAATGAGTGGACATCATGGTTACTGATGAGGATTCAGAAATCCGAAATGGTTTCATTGTAAAAAAGTCATATAACCTGTGTGTGAGAGGTAGTATTTCCCATATCACTGATATGAATGATTATTTTTGGGAGTTTTCAAGCTCATCAAGATCAGAGTTTATGCCAGTATATATACTTTCTCTTACATTCCAATTTTCATTCAATGCTGAATATATTGGTAAGTTATATTTCTATATCATTATACATCATATTATTCATCCGATTTGAAGAAGAATTTCAATTCTCAATTTCGGAGGATTTTATTTTTCATGTTCTCCTTTTGAATGTTCATCAGATATAATTCAATGTTCGACGAGGCAAATAGCCAGGAAAGTAGTTTCCTGCACCATCACAGGCCATTGCCACTAAACGCGACGAACAGTTTTCTACTGGCAAGAGACTATGATGTAAACAACACTATTAATGATCATCTGACAAATGTGTAAGATTGGTTAAGAAGTGGACTCAAATAGCCTATCAGTCATCCAGTCATGGACATTGAAAATGAAAACATTGAACAAGATGGAATTATGTAAAGTACCTCAAAACCTAGAAAAGAAATCATTGAGATAGGCAGTGCATCTCTACAAAGCTTCCCCATTACCTATTTGCACAATTCACAATATGGAACACGAAAAGGCAAATTTTCATGTTACAGCACTTTAGCAACATGTGACTTGTGTTAAATAGCTAAACGGAGAATTAATAATCCCGAAGGGCCATGGCAAGGTAGTATACCTTCTGGAGTGGGCGAATTGATCGCTGTTGATTTCTATGGACCATTACTCAAGGGGCGAGGGGGAGTGTCCTATTTGTTGGTGGCTCTGGATGTATTTTCCAAGTTTATTAAAATTTTTCCCATAATGAAGGCAACCGCTACAGCAGCTACTCGTCGTATCGAACAAGAGTTATTGCCAATTCTGTCTGGTTGAGCTGAAAGGTACATGCAGAAAATAGGCCGATTCCTCAGAACCTACTGTCATCAAAATCAGGAAAAATGGGCCGATATTATCCCTACCATTGAAAGTTGTTTCAATAATGTTCTACACTACAGTACTGAAGTGGCACCTACTGTCCTAGTGAAAGGGGTGTTGCCAGAATATGCGTTAGAAACAGTCCTGAAACAATATACGGAAATCACCACTACAGTTAGCATGGAAGTACAACTTCAGGTAGTCAAATCACAAATAATACGGATGACACTAGAAAGAAGTAGGCAACAACGTAAGGAGAATCTCATAAACTGTGTCTGTTATATGAGGGCCCTTATTATATATCTGGGATTTCACATATAAATGCATTTGAAATTTCCGACAGCAACCATGCAAAGAAAGGCGACTATAACACAGACAATCTCTTTCCTTACAAATCTTTCCAGTAATTCCCAATGATCCTCGATACCTTCAAACACTCTATATAATTGTTCCTTAGCAAAGGGAGTATTGCCAAAATTACCCCGGAAACCAGACGTTGTTGGAAACTTTGGAAACAGAGCTAACATTTATAAATCAAACACAACAGTCGAACACTTTGAAAAAATATGTCCACGAGAATGACTTCGGCTGACCCCATCAGAACATTAAGGGTGGTATATAAGGACCTCCTAGAAACGATACGTCGGAAGAAGGTATATTACGACTGTTTCGGCACTGACTTCGAGGAGGAGCAGAAGGAGGAGCCAAAAATTGTCATACACAATATGGTGATCCTCTGGCCGACTATGGCAGACATGTCAAGCGTTGAAGGAGAACCCGGGGCCAGTGCCGAACCTGCGGACCAGGAAGACAAAAAGGAGAGAAGGAGAGGAAAAATGAGCCGGACGAAGAAGGACATACACCGGCGAGGTTCGGTTATGGTACCAGAACCACTGCTTCCTTCCCAAAACCAGGGGGGAATGTAACAGAACATAGATGATAGGTTTTATTATACTTAGGATAATTGATGTGTTACCTTGAGAGAAGAATATATGTCGTTCATCAATACGGTGGTTATTTCCTTAGGCCTGAGGCCAGGGCCTACTGTATCTAACCGGGCCGTAGTCTATCCCCTCTCTCTCGACGCTTACGTCGCACTAGTAGGTAGAGATTTCACTTTAGTTGTACTGGTGCGTTCGTAATTAATGGGCTATACCTAATTTACTATGAATTTTAGAGGCACACTCAATCGAGACAAAATGATCCCTAACGAATTCCCCAACTTTTGGTGAAAAATGAATCCAATAGGATGAATCAATACCGAGTTAGGGCGTTGTACAGAAATTCCATTCTATTGAAAATCAGGACGCTGTACTGCAGAATACTATTTTTTGCAAATTTGATAACAGAATGAGATAAAACAAACTCAGTATATCATAAAGATGTTATCGGACTCTTTAATGTTGGTCATATTAAGACAGAACACTTGCTTGAATTACTGAACTCTATCATCAAACTCCTTACAGAAATTGGGTATCAAATTGTGAGTATCATATCGGATAATAATCGGGTGAATAGAAAAGCATTCGAGCTGTTATGTGGTGGAAAAATCGAACATTTCATTTCAAATCCATATAAAGATACATTTAAAATATTTCTACTTTTTGATACTGTTCATTTATTCAAATGTACAAGGAATAATTGGCTTAATCAGAAAGACACATTCCAAACAAATGTCATTCCAAATTTTTCTGTATCCGAGTTAACATTGTCTAGTGAAACCTCTTCTGCAAGTCTTAAACATTTGAAAGACCTATATTCTTATGAGGAAACGAAGTTGGTTAAATTTGCTCCTGCGCTGAATAGGAAAGTCTAAAACACTAAATCACTTGTTTCATGGGGTAGTAATCAGAGTAGGTAATAAGTAATGTGGCTGGTCATGGGTCATTCTGATTGGATCGTGGGTGTGGCCTAGCGAGGGGCGGAGATCGTAAGCGTAAATCAATAAAAAGTCAAAAATCGATTTGAAATGCATTATGCAAAAAATACATGATTTTGACTCATCGACACGCCGATAGAAATATGTTAGCATTTTCTTATGTTGATGAATGTGAACAAAACTTAAAAAATAAAACGAATTCGTCATTTTCAAAAGCAATTCAACGAGAAACTGAAAGAAAAATTCGAAATATTCTTTCCACGATCTATAGTATTCATCAACATCAACAGATTGTCAAAAATTCAAATAAGTCTATCGATTCATTTCCATTCTGTAGTTGAATTTGAAATGCATTATTTGGTATAGGCGTTATAAGGGTAGGGAACGACCTCAAATCCTTGTTCAATAGAACGCCAAAATGTGAATTATTGTGTGAAACTATTCGATGAAAAAAATATATCTGCTCTACAGGTCCTGAATGAAAATATTTCTGATGACGTGAATGGCACAATATTGTTTCTTCAAATCATTCTGAGCTGGTGGAAATGTGTTAATTGCAAAATTACATTCAGTGGTATCAAAAGTAGAGATTCGTTCAGAGAACCGATTCGTCAAATTGAAGATAGCAACTTCAAATTTTTAGAAGTGTTTGTGAGTTGGTTGAATCTTTGGGATCAATTAATAATACCTGGAGAATCCAGGGGAAAACGTAATGGAAAATTAAGCAAAGAAACACAATTTACCATAACACATACAACGAGTTGTTTCGTGGAAATGATTAAGTACTTGCTGAATGAATTACAATTTGATTA